CAATATGTTCAACGAGAACGGCTGAACCAACAAAAACATTAGAAAATTTACGAAAAAATAAAATAAAAAATATCCCGTACAAAATGTTCATGAATTGTGTTATTTTTATTAAAAATACTTTTACGCCTGAGTTTAATGACACCGACATCAAGGTTCATCAATTCAAGTATAAAATAATAGGCAGTAATGTCATGAAAAAAGAGCTTCTATTCTGTATCTACCTATGCCCGTGTAATTTTGATCGGTGTCAAATCGGAGTTTTCGTGCGGGGTGCGCGGGTGTTTCGCGCGGCGTGAAGGTCAAACGCCCAAGGTCATTGAGGACTCTAATCGCCTTAATCTCCTATCGCAAAGTAGCATGTGTGATGTGGCTCTTATTTATTTCCATAATACATTGTATGCCAGTTGGAAATTGTAATTTAAATTACAATTTATAATATAGCGGCTGAGGCTACAACGTGATGCAGTTCGTGGAAACAAGGGTGAGTCATTAAGTGGGCCAAATACAGACTAGCTTATCTTGCTGCCGCTCAGATTAGTTCGGCTAAACGCTACTGTATAGGCTCAGTTGAACTTGCGATCTCTAAACTAAAAAGATAATCCCACCAAAAACATTCTGTAAAAAACTAGCCAAGTCTCCTTAGAGCTGCTTATTTATCTCTAAAAAGTAATGAAATCTAGACAAAGTCGTGCCAAGTCTATGATGGTTCCTTACTGCGATTTCTTTATTATTATAGTTAATGTTGTGTGACTTGGCCGTTGAAGGGTACAAAATCACGTGCCATCATGACATCATTGCACCAATCTGTCGCCAGAACCGCTACCCATTGACGATGGAAAATTGCCACTTGGAAAACGTTGATTCAATAACCAGTCNTTGTGTCTGTTTTCTTCTTCTACTAATAGATAATTTTATTGGCTATCGCATGATATAAAATATTTGCCTATTAATGTTAAGCTACCCACACTTTTACTTGTTTTTTAAAGAAGAGGTGTAAACTAAAAATTAAAAACTTAAATCCTCGTTATTTTGCGAGAAATGGGTCAAGCCCCAAATTTGAAGTATTTTCATCGATAAAATTGTCCATAGATTACGCCCTTAAAGTTTGATCACTACAAGCCCGGACACACTGTATAAACATTAATTAACGACAAAAAATATTTATTTATTTAGGCCAACTAATTTTAAATCCTTAATGTGCCAAGTGCTTAAATCTTTACCTGACATATCCTCTAGGACATACACCAAAGGCGATTTTTTATGAGCCACACGACATTTAATGAATTTTGGTGCTAACTTTTTACTAAAATATTTGTCTTTGTCACTTAATACGTAAGCGCGCTTCATAACAATATCTGCCACATTAAACTCTGCTGGCTTTCGACGAAGATTATAGTGTGAAGTATTTTTTTCGTGAACATGCCATAACTTTTTCTGTACGTCATTAAAAATACTAGAAAGGCAGTCTAAGTTTTCGGCATAAATATCCCGAGGTAAAAATAGGATTTCGTTGCCTAATTCTGAGTCTGTATAGTGGGTACCGCAGGTGACAAGTTCCCTACCATAAACTAAGAAAGATGGCGTGAAACCAGTAGCCTCGTTTACCGAGTTATTTATCGCAAATTGAACCTTTGGAATAAAAACGTCCCAAGTTCTGTGATCATTTTCGACAAATGTTGATATGCAAGTGATAATAGTTCTGGGTAAATCCGCGAAACAGTAAAAAACTTATGTTCCGATCGATAAAAAAAAAAAATTGTAGTTCTGGTAAATTTAACTTCTGAATAACGATTCATACACGTTTCCACCATAAGGCCCCATGATCCATATTGAATAAATACTTCAAGTTATTTCGATAATCAAGAAAACACGCACTAAACATCATTACCATCACAGTAAAAGTACTGACCTTTGCCGCTGTCTTTTAATTTTTTTTATTTTACCTATACACAGACCAGATTTTGATTATAAATTTAAAATGTACATATTTACCGTGACAAAATAACAAAATTATATTGAAATCGTATTAGCCAATAAAATGGAATCATGAATAATAATTGAAATATTGTCACGAGAAATCGTCATTGCCATCGCGGCAGCATCAAAGGTGANGCCGGTAAATAAAACGATATCGTCAGTTGCAGGTTCACTTGGGGTAACTGACAAAATACGGTTTTTGAGTTAAATATACAGTTTTTCTTAGTTTTTTCTGCCCTTTCGAATGGTATACGTAAAAAAATTCTAGCTTTAAAAAAATTACAATTACACGGACATTTTCAGGTGTGAACTTTTCAGATTTCCTTCACAATTTTGGTGTAACTGACATTGTAATTATTTTACCAGGTTGAATTGGTGTATCTGTAATAATGTAAAAATTTTGCTACAAAACTTTGCAATTACACTGATTTGCTAAGGTTTATAACATGAAATAAAATAGGAATTTAGAAAGTTTTAAGGCATATTACATTATTATTATACCAGCAGTAACAGTTAAAGAAGTTAAAGTTAGCTCAACAAAAAAAATGTTGAAATTGAGCAAACTTTCCAGCCAACTAGGCGTCACGGCGCGTTGCTAACATTAACCTGTTGTTACTCTGTTACTTTTACTGTTGTAGTACTCATGACCTTAATTCAACATTGCTATAAAGAGATGGGAAATTAAATCCATTTTGTTTTCTGTTTAAGTTGCCCCGTAGAGCTAAATACGGTATTAGTAAGTCAAAGCTTAAAAAAATATTCAAATTACTTAGTTTCACAGTAATAGTTTAGTTATTTCAATGTTTCTGTCTTAAAAAAATTAAATACACATATTTTCTTGATTTCCGTGGCTTTTTTAACATTTTTTAATGAATAAAATAAAAGTTACTTCTAATAAAATTAAAAAAAATTAAAAAAAAGATAAAATGTTATTTTTTTCATGAATTCTCTTATTTTTTAATACTTTTACATAAATTATACAGCAACTAAGTAAACAAAACCCAGCAAATATATCAAATTATTTTAAATTTGGCAGTACTTACACCAATTTGACCTATGTTTTTGCAAAAGTTTGGTATAAAATTAGTGTAACTGTCAAAAGTACAAAAATACATTGGTGTAACTGCAATTTATTTCCTTAACTAAGGCATATTAGATAATTCTTTTTATTTAATCTAAAACCGCGTAGAATTCTAAGCATTTCTGTAAAAACAGATCTAAAAAAGGTTAAAGAGAAAAAAAGTTATGTCTGATTTAAGACGAAAAAAAACTTTAAACGGCTCTACTGAAAAACTGTATTTTGTCAGTTACCCCAAGTGAACCTGCAACTGACGATATAGTGACGTCAAAATCGATATAACGCCGCGATAGCAGTTTATCACGGCTCGCATCTTAGCCCTGCAGACTATTGTTTGAAACGCCATATTATTCTAAAAAAATGAAACTTTTTTAATTTTTTTCTTTACTATGATTATTTGTTGAACTTCTGATTTGGTTAGTGAATTGGCTATTTCGAAGAATTTACAAGGAGATTTAAATAAGAAGATAGCAATACTACAGTTCACACTAAAAAGAGAGGTAGGGCCACAGAGAGCGAGATAGATATAAGTAGGTATTTGACTCAAGTTTTTGTTCCAACTTTGCCCTCCATTTTTATCTCTAGCTTCATGGTAAAATGGCGTCCTTCACAGATTAGAGAGGCGTCTTTTAGCGGTAAGTGCTGTCACTGTCCAAAAAAATTAAATGTATGGGAAATAACCACAGATATAGATAGATGCAGCATGTGTCAAAAATTGTATGAAGCCGAGCGTGCCACTTTTTAAACGTCATTAGTGTCATTTTAGCGAATTTTAGTGATTGCCGCAACGTAAAAGTAATCGTATCATCGTACTGCATTCGCATAGTCATCGAATGATATCGTGTGGCTCGATTCAAAAATTAATTAATTCCGATAAAACTGATATTTTGTTAAATTTATAGCTAGTCTGACTGTGGATTAAAATAATTATGTAGCGGTAGACGTTATTCTACAATTCTACATTATTAATTTGCAAATAATATTTTTGTTGTGCCTAATGTTTATGAAAGTAATGATCGTTATTCCATTATGTTAAATAGTATACTACTAGTAATTCATACTTAATTCCATACGTTTAAATATCCTAGTAAGTAAATGACCTACTTTCATAAAATAAAGACTATTTTACTCAAGCTTTTTATTTTTAATAAATGTAAAAATGCGTAGTTTTGCCAATACGTTTTTTTTCATAAAGCTAAGTCAGGTACCTAGTTTTGAAGATATTTCTAAACGACAAAATCTCGGGCGTCGTATACATAGTAGTAATAATAGTGAATACTGCGATCACTGACCTAACTTCTTGATTTGTATTTTCGACGTTGTACAGTGCACTCTGTCTTCCGCGATCACTGATCTAACTTGTTTAGTCAACAAGCCATAGAACAAGGCTTAAGTAGTTTCAAAGCAAGATCTGTCAAGGCTTAGTCGAAATCGACCACTTTATGTTTCATTCCATACAACGAAAATGGAAAATATTTTTTTCCAGTCAAACTGTTGGTTTTAGAGAAAAACTTGTGAAGCATTTATTCATCAGAATAACGTAACCTATCGATAGGTATTTTTTTCAAATAGAAATTGTGAAAAAAATCGCTATGTCCATAAATCTCAATTTCGCTCCATAGTGCTACATAATGAATTGTTTAGAATTTACAACGTTGGTGATCTTAATGCCGGGAGGTATTTTCTACCAATCTCATCTGTTAGCCTTATGAAAACCCAACTAGAAAGTTAATAATGGGGGTTATAGTGTTAGATTGATTTGGTCGATTTTTATTGGATTGATTTGCTCATATCAGAATAATGATTTGATTCGTTCATTATGTAGGCAAAATTACAAATGTATGAAAAGTGCATCGAAGATTAAAACAATCCAAATTTATGTTATGATTTATTTTTCGGCGTTTCTAAGACAAACAAATAAAAATTCTAAAAATCATTGTTTTGGGTTATCTTATCAGTGATCATCAGTTTTATTTTTCTGCTCCAACCCTTTTTTTTCAGCATCTCTAATGGCCGTAAATATGGTGCCTAACTTAACTTTCTTCATTATCTGCTTATCGTGGAACCCATGTTTGTGAGCTGAGACCCTGAAATTAATATTGTTCATTATTATAGTGTAAAAATGCACTTTAGTTATTTTCGCTGTGCGTGCTTGCTCGCGCTTCGTCTCGGTCAATTTTCGGCATAGTGAGTCTACTTGCGTTAAAACACGCGGGATTTGTTGAAACACCAACCAACTCAGTTATGCAATAAGTATGCCAGTAGTTTTCAATTATTTGTGCCATTTAAATACTGCTTCAGCATGACAGAATTAGAAATATGTAGTTACATATTTTATACCTTTGGACTACAATGTCATCTCTAGTTGTAACCAAAGCCGGGCACTTGTTCCTCATGTAGTCAACACATCTCCATGTACGCATGGGTCGATCCGATTTTTTACGGCAATACCGCAAATAATATATGAATCTATTTAAGATCAGCTGCAGGGAACCTTGATTCGATAATGTGTATTGCACAGTTTTACAATCAAAATCTGTAAGTAAAAAACAACACTAAAAAAGTTTTTCAGTACTGTTTGAATTTATCTATAATCCAATTTTTTTAAAATGTTTTTGGCAATAATGTGCAATGTAATGGTTTTATACAGTAGAATCCCGATTATCCGGATCAATTAAAACCCAGGGTATTCCGGACAATCAAAAATCCGGATAATCGATTTCAAAGTAAAATCAAACAATAATCAACTTTTTACTGTAGAAATGGTCTTAAATACATCATTAGACCATTGGGTGAATGCATTTCTTTTAACTATGAACCAAGACGACGTCTGAACCGTGTTTCGGTGGCGGCGTCGAGCCGTATCACAGACTACGTCGTGCCATATTGATGGGTCCAGGACCTAAATCAGTAATTAGAGCCCTGAAGAATGAGTCCGGATAATTGGATGTCCGGATAATGGAAGTACGGATAATCGAGATTCTACTGTAGCTTGTGCTTTATACAGTTTATGAATTAATTTTAACATAGATATTTTATTTTAACGTACTACTTGTAGCTGCACTGTTGTTGTGTGACGGTCCGAGAGTTAAGCTGACAGTATCCTGATTTGATGAGGTTTGTTTATATTTTGTGTTATTTTCTTCACTTAGATGGTCATTTTCAACTTCCTCAAAAGGATCACATATTTTTTCATACTTACGTACTTCATTGGTGCTAAAATGAATGCAAAAATGTTTTATTATAATTAACTGCATTAATTTATAAGTGAGTAAGTGTAAAATAAACCATTATCATTCAAAGTTTCATTTTTAATAGTAACATTTTAATAATAAATGAGAAAATACATACTTTGAAATGCTATCACTTGTAATACTTATGTTACTTTTATGTCCAGTCTGTGATTTGAATTGCTGAAGTTTCTCCACTAATGTTGATGCATTGTTCTGTTCCATATTGGTTTCCAATTTATCTTGTAATATCTCCTAAAATTGTAATGTTGTTATATAGTTAATAATAGTGAGAGTATTTATAAACTTCATCTTCTATACCTAGGTTGCTTTTATTGTTGTTATATTACTAGACATTTGATTATTTACCATATCTTGAAGGCCTATAATGTGCAATTCTTTGCCAGCTTCTATGAGCTCGGGTAGACTTTCTTTATGTACCATAACTTCCCCTGAATATATGAACTCCAGAATATAACATAATATTGGATATGAAATTTTCTGAAAAAAAAAGCATATTTGTTAATACCGCCATAATTAAATCAGTAATGCCAGTCAGGTCAGTATCTTATTATTTAAAACTTACATTTAAAAACACGACTGGATGAGGGCATGGCGCTGATAGGATGAGTTCTTTTAAATATGGGCTGGCAAGGGAAACAACAACTTGATGAACTTTAACAAAATGCCCATCTGCTGCTAAAGTCATATCTACAAACTCCTCTCGCTGCAAAATTGCAATTGAGTTAATAATATTTTATAGGCTCTATACAATTTACCTTGGGTAGATTAAAACTCACTTACTTGTTGAAAACAACTCAACCCATTTGAGATACTGGTCTTAAAACTATCAGAGGATACGCAAAACTGCAAAGACATCGTAGCAAATAATATTCAATCAACTTATTTCAATAATTAAAGATCATTCAATCAATAGACCATTTGTACAAGAAAATACTGGTTTACACACTAATTCGTAAATAAACTCTTGTTAGTCAACTTTACTGCAGTAACTTTAACAGTAAATTTGTTTACAATATTTATTTCAATGAAACATGATCAAACATTTTTGCTGCAGAACAAACAAAAACAACCATTAGTCCAATATTACTTTGATACCAAACTTAACCTATATTGCTAGCGCATGTAATTTTTTTTTATGACATTAGTGCTATAGATGACCCACGCTGAACTGTCCCACCAAACTCAATGACAGGGGGGCGCAAGAGAATGTCTCCAACTTCCTCATTGGCCCTAGAGCAATTCCAAGTATACCATCAATAAAAGCCTAATTAGAGTCATCAAACCTCTCAGTCATTCAATTAGAGCCATTAGAACTTCATAACTATGAGTTGTTTTCTATGTGTAAGCTGAGGACACGTGTCTCCAGCTGACACATCTGTATCTTCGTAAATATTTATGCTACGATAATGTATTATACCTCAAAAATTACAGTCGAATCCAAATAGTAGGCTTTCCACTTTTCAAGACTTTAGCTCAAATACTGTTAAAACCACGATCAAAAAACTATGTGCGAGCTGGAGTACCGTGTCTCCAGCTTACACATCTGTATCTTCGTAAATATTTAAGCTACATCAATGTTTTATATCTCATAAATTAAAGTCGAATAAAAAAACCCGACTTCAATTCTTTCAAAGCTTTATTTCGAACCGTTTTCGAACTACGAACCGATACGTATGTGTAAGCTGGTGACACGTAACACACGGTGGATTATTAAAACCGTATAAGTTAGAGTTGCGTTTTAAAGATCAAATAACCAGCGGCGTAAGGGAGGACCATTTTGGGGTGTCTTACCTCCCCGCTATATGTATACCCAACTTACTTACATTAAGGACTTATGACGGGGGGTGCTGTGCTGTGCTATGCCCCGGGTGCCAACCCATGCTACGCCGCCACTGTCCAGCAGTCGTGAAACCATTTGAAGTAAGTCAAAAGTGTTGAGTGTTGAAAAAAATCAAGTTGTCGCAGGGTTTGAGTTGTCGCAGGGGTCGAGTTGTCACAGGAGTCAAATTGTCCCGGGGTTAAGCTGTCGTGATAGTAGTCGTGATGGTATCACGGTGATACCCATTGAAGTTGGTCAAAAGTGATTTTGTATGTATTTTTTCAGGGTTGCTTATGGATTTTTATTTTAGATATAACTTTTTTCTGAGACACGCATGTCACACTTGAGCTGTCATATAATAAAATTATAGTATTTTAAGGTAGGTATTAAAGTGCTACAGTTCTGGGGACGTTTTGTTACATTGTTCTTTTGGGAAACCATTCATAGTCATCATTACCATATACAAAGTGTCATCACCATAAGCCTAAATGATATGGTAATGATGTTAATGGTAATGACGAAAACGATTTTAAAATTATATAAAAATAATTGTCACCACTATTGGGACACCTCAATATCGCCATTTTTTTATTGTAATCACATGCTACAAAGTGCTAATTATTAGAAAAATATCGATATATTAAACTTACTAAATCGCACAAAATGGGAATGACGCGAGCCGATGACAAACTGCGAGTGTCTCTCGTTTTCGGAGTTTAAAAAGTCTCGGAGCTGCGTAAATTTTACGTGCATTCTGTTCTGTTACGAGCAACGAATTGAAGAGTGGGACGCGCGGACACAAGCGGGGATAAGTCGCGTCGCAGCCGCATTACAGAACCTTTGATGCTGCCGCGATGGCTATGACGATTTCTCGTGACAATATTTCAATTCATGATTCCATTTTATTGGCTAATACGATTTCAATATAATTTTGTTATTTTGTCACGGTAAATATGTACATTTTAAATTTATAATCAAAATCTGGTCTGTGTATAGGTAAAGTAAAAAAAATTAAAAGACAACGGCAAAGGTCAGTACTTTTACTGTGATGGTAATGACGTTTAGTGCGTGTTTTCTTGATTATCGAAATAACTTGAAGTATTTAATCAATATGGATCATGGCGCCTTATGTGGAAACTTGTATGAATCGTTATTCAGAAGTTTAATTTACCAGAACTACAACAGTTTTTTTTTTATCTATCGGAACATAAGTTTTTTACTGTTTCGCGGATTTACCCACCAGCGATCCGGTATAGACGGTGGCGCCCCACTGTCAATGTCATCGACAGGACAGAGCCCCGATTACGGTAATTTTTAACGTCAACAATCCAGACACGCTTCTCGATTCTGCGATACGATTGGTCGTTCAACAGCGTACGTCAGCTGTTTTGACCAATCGTATCGCAGAATCAGAAACGCGTCTGGATTGTCTTAGACGTTAAAAGTTACCGTAATCGGGGCTCAGTCCAGTATTTTGGAACTATAACCATATTATGGCTTACGGTTCTAAAACCGTAACGGTAAAACCACGTAAAACAACATTATCAGAGGCTATGAAAACATCCTAACTATAAGTTATCCACTTTTTTAGTGTTTTCTATTAATGTTTTTTTTCCTATGTACTCATTCCATTATTATCTTTGGTGGTTTGTTTTTCAGTCGGGTGTCAATAATGTCACTCACGTCAATTATGACGTTTTTGTTTGTTTATTTCTTCACTGACGTTTGTAGAGGTTATGTTCATGTTGCGGAACTGTAAAAATCAAATTATTTTCAGTTGTAAAGTAGGTAAAAATGAATTTTTCAGAACCCTGGAATGATCCAAGTATTTTGCCTCCACCTATCAATACATTTAAAGTTGATGTTCAAATCAGTAAGTAGTCTCGTGTTAGATAAAATAAGATTTATCCTTAATGCATTTAGAATAATAGTAGGATCATAGTAGGTTATACATTTTTTTGTTAGTGTTACTTTTTGTTGCAGATGCGCGAGATATTTTACATTTGTGTAATAATATCAATAAGGTTTTAGCCAATCAGTCTCCCTTACACCAAGAAAGCGCTTTGCTTTCAAGGTTTGTCTATAAATTTGATAAAAAGTTTCGGAATGATATTGGATATAGGCATTTAAAAAAATTAAATACAGCCCTACGTATATATTTAGGCGTAAATTTATGGAAAGATGTTGAAAGTTTTGCAGCAGTCATACCTGTTGATAATCAAAATAAATATTTGCCCACAAGACAAATGTTGGAATATGTTTTGGTTCGGATCATTTCTTTTGCTAAAGTAATGAAGAGAATATGTTTGTGTTCAAAACAATCATCTGTTTTTTATTTGGACAGAGTGAAAAGGGGTGAAAGTCACTGGATGTCCCTGATGCCCTATGCTCTATTAAGTCGGATTTGGTCCATTAGTTCAGTTTTGTTGCAACACAGCTGCACCTGGTACTCAGGACTATATCCATATCTGAGTAAGTTGATATTCAAAGGTGTCCAGTTTTTACCACCAAATTACGCACTTCCATTGGACTTGAGAAAATGGATTGATTTAAAAAACTTGGATGACTGTGGCAGGTTTGAATGGACACACAAAAAAGGCATAGTCAATATGAATTTGTCTGAAGATGACTCAACTATTGACACTATTTTAGAATATGTTAATGATATAAATGATGTGGAAAGCGTACAAGAAAATGCAAAAAAGTCAGTTGTATCTAATTTTATATCTCCAAAAGAAAATAGTGTAACTACAACTGATATGATAAAAAAAGAAGTGGATCAAGGTGAAATCATATCCAGAGAGCATTTCAAGTCATTGATCAGTAAGCAAACTATGCAAATTAATGAAAAGGAGTCTAATCAAGGAGAAAAAATATCAAGAGAATATTTTAAATCATTCTTCGTCAATAAGCCAACAGATAAAATGAATGAAAAGGAATCAAAACATAGTGCAGACAATGTCACAAGCAATCAATCCCTGGATAAATTTATTAATACAGAGGAAAAGTACAGGAATGAAGATGGTGACTTGGCATTAACAAAACATCTTAGTTTTATGCAATGGCAATCTTTAAGAACCAGTTTATTGAATTTAAAAGAATCACTTAGCAAAAATAGAAAAATTGAAAGAAAATTCCAAAAACTATGGAAAGAGAAATGTTTAGATTATAAATGAAATTAAAATTTACAATTACAGTAGTATATTTCATAGTTATTTACAATATAAATGTTACAGTACAGCACCATTTGTGTAGATAAAGATATCCTAAAATCATATGTTGATTTTATACATAGATAGATCAGGTACAATAAATTATTCATAATATTTTTGTTTTTATATGCCCTAAATAAAAGATAATAAACAAGCGTGTTTAGGTCTTAGTTATAGGTGATAATTTTTAAAATTAGCTTTGGCCATAAAAACTGTTGAAGTTAAAGCCAATTATTGTTAAATGTTCAGCTGAGAATATTAGTTAATATGTACTCAAATATTAAACATCAGCTGAATGTGAACTGCACACATATTCATATTGATATACTTCAATGTTCTAGCTTTACCTACAGTAGTAATTTGCATAATCTTAGTTTCATTATGAAGATAAAATATATTTTATACAATGTGTAATTGAAATAACGCATAAGTTGATTGAGCAGGGAAAATGTAATTTACTAATGATTTAAGATAATTAATTTTAATACATAAAATTAATGATTGCAGAAATTGTTTTTTATTTTAAAAACGACGTAAATGGTACATTGCTATCGGCCGAGTGTGCATTAAGCTGCATGCACCATTAACTTTTATAATATTATTTTTTTCTCCAAAAATTGTATAACATTCTAGAAAAGTGTTGCTCATTATACATTGTAATTTAAGCATTATGGTTTTTATAATAAATCTCAATTGGGTTAAATAATGTTGAATACACAAAAAACAGGTTTGTTGTTACATATTCTTTTCGGTTAATACTTTCAACTTAATGAAATTGAACTCTAACAATAACATAATTTGTTCAATTGGGTATATCAAAATTGATTTTATTAACCAGATTATATGAGAAAAGCGAAATAGTTCAAGTTTAATTATATGCCTATTTATTGGCTTTGTTAAACATTCTTTTAACATTATGCAAGTTTAAAAAAACAAAGCATTCTTGTAACTGAAATCGACATTAATTCACAAAAGATGCATAAACCACAATACAGTATTTTTAAATGGAATGTATTTAATTTTCGTTGATCACTGAAATGCACTTTATAAGTTAAATTAATTAATATTAATGTACTGCACATCATCTCTAGACTTCAATCTAATTTTAAGCTCAGTTGGGTTCTGTTTGAAACAGGTGCCAATTTTGTTTAGATGTATTTTGTAAACTATCAATGTACCAATATTAAAAGTGGTGGCAATTGTAACGCTTAATCTTAGATTGCAGTCTAGAGAATAAACATAACTTATAATTACCGATAAATATTATAAAAATATTTAAATTAAATGGCAAATGTTTGAATTGTTTGTGCTTAAGCAATGGCAGAGAATATAATTATTTTCTGGTACTTGATAACTTCTGCAGTCGTGCTTTTAGGCCTCCTTCTTTTTTCGGCTGGGTTAATGATTTTCGTTCCTCTTGCATTTTTTTGGCTTCTTTTAACCTGCAACAAGCCACTAGTTATCAAGACAACCAAGTGGAAAATATTGACGATCGTCGCCAGTAGTAAAAAATGATGAAAATGTTGAGCATTATAAATTGTAAATAAGTTCTATAATTTAACTGTTATTACTTACTTTTCTTTTATAGCAATCTGTTCTTCCTTTTTATAAATATCTTTGAAGTCACTGCAAAATGATGTCCACAGACTGAAGAATTCCTTAGGCTCACAGTCTTCAACTTTGCCACATTTTGGGGTGTACTGGTAAAATTTTATCGTTGCTATAAATTTACTACGACAATCTTCTAAGTTTTCGTATTCAGTCTTAAGTTTTTCTTCGGCTGCATTTAAGAAAGTAGACATTTTTTCTCTGAACACTTCGAGCCTCTTTGGTCCTTCGCCCGAAGGAGACTCCTCTAAATGCGCACCTGAGTCAAGGATTTTCTTGGTTTTTTCCTTGCAAGCTGAAACAAAAATTGAAAAAATGTTTCATTATTTATGATTAAAACGGTTTAGCATAGTTTTAATTATGGCCATTTTAACTCATTGGATTTGTCTCATATTTGGGGATACATCATGAGTAAGTAAGTAGTCTTATTAGTAGGCCAGGCCGGCGGCGACGTCCTGGAAGCCACGTCGCGCCGGGCTCGGGCACGGGCAGCGCGCACGATGAAGTGCTGTAGCGTCATACACACAAGGCCGCATGTCGCTTGTCGCGTCACCGCTCACCTTCCAAGTTGTGCGTGAGCGCGGCCAGGCCGGCGGCGACGTCCTGGAAGTCGAGCGCGGCGGCGCGCGCCACGTCGCCGGGCTCGGGCACGGGCAGCGCGCACGCGGCCGCCAGCGCGCCGCCGCACGCGCGCATATAAGTGCGCACGATGAAGTGCAGCAGAGTCACGTTCGACTGCTTCGACTGGGGGCGAGACGAGATGAAACATTTATTTATTTATTAGGTACACCAACAAAGTCACATAATACAGTTCATACATTTTAACATGGTTTAACATTAGGAGATTAATACGAGTCTACATCGTTGTGTCTGCAATATATTTAAATTATTCAAATTGGAAAGTATCGCTGCTTGGGAATCGTCAAATAAAGAAAAAAAAATAGTGTTGTTACCTTTACATCTTTCAGTTTTGAAAGAATCTCCAACCCAAAGCCATCAGCTTGTCCTCTTTGCCCATTTCCACCATTCATATAATTACCGAGTGTTAATATAATAGCAAATAATTTCTTTAGAGATTCACTGGTCATTAGAAACTGAAATAAAAAATATGATTAGGAAAATATCTATTAATGTTACTAAAAATCAAGTAAATAAATGAGCTTAATTAATGACGAGTAACGCGAAACGTAAGAAATAACGATCTAATACAAAACTAATGACTGCCTTTCACTCATGCGCAAGAAAATAGCTGAAAATTGCAGACAAATGAAACATAACTTACCTCACACGTGTGTTTCAAATTGTCTAACTTGTGCATTGTTGTGCTGGCAGCATCCTCGAAATCGGCTTGGAACATGAAGCATGATATCCTCTCCGCAAAATTGGGGATCCCAGATAAGTCGTGTAAGAACGCCTCTGGTCTATCTAGTGGTACATCGGATTTGCTCTTCAAGTGTTCTTTTATCATAGCCAATTCCTCGTCGGTAGCACGCTATAAAAGACAGACATGTTTGAACACAAGTACAATAATTTTAAGCATACACAAAGGGGAGAAAATAAACAATATTTTTTACATACCAACTCATATATTTGCTGTAGAGCTTCTAAACTTACGACAGACGTATCAAAATTATAAATAGCATTTTCTATTTCCGAAAACTCGACGTGCAAGCTTTGAGCAAGAATACCAACGTTTTGGGACCTTTTACTATCTAATATCTTCACTGGTTGAATCTTAGTTTTAACTTCAACTTTCTTCTTAACCGGTGCTTTTACAACTTGCCGCGAAAACAGATCTGTAAACTCTTCGATGTTGTCCAAGTTCGTTTCTTCGATTTCAAGCCACAGAGGTTTTAAAAGTACAGAATCTGATTCGCCCTGGCAAGGAGGCGCTACTTGATTTGCTAGAATTCGTGTCCAATATAACGGCTTCATAGGCGCAGCAGGTTTCACAGGTGTTTTTCTTAGAGCTAAAATGAAACATAGAAAAATATTTTAAAAGCCAACTAACTTTACCAGATGATCTTGAAAGGGCGACAGACTCTTCCAGGGAATTGATATTTATCAATAAATATGTTACGTTATGTCACGTTAACTTATTTAAAAATGTTTTAGTAATAGAATGTGTTTCTTTAATTGGCTTATGTTCAAGTTGTATCTTCCTGCACATTTATGAACAATTTAATGCTGTTGAAACATTGTTAAACAAATAAAATAAAAAAATAAAAATATATCACGATTCACCCTTCATGAGTGAATCACTGATCGTTGATCATAACTTACTCGATCGTTGCATGCTCCAACCACCAACAGGCGGGGCGGGGAACGGCACTGGTCCTGAGTACGGCATTTGACCCGGCGGCGGCGGCGGGCCTGATATCGGCGGCGGTGGTGGGGGGCCCATCCCTGGCATAGGCGGCGGCAGGGGGCTTGCTCCCGGCATTCCAGGCATTGGCGGTGGGGGAGGCCCCATTCCAGGCATTGGCGGTGGGGGAGGCCCCATTCCAGGCATTGGCGGTGGGGGAGGCCCCATTCCAGGCATTGGAGGAGGTGGAGGACCCATACCAGGCATTGGAGGAGGAGGTGGTCCCATTCCAGGCATAGGGGGAGGGGGAGGACCCATTCCAGGCATAGGGGGAGGGGGAGGTCCCATTCCTGGCATTGGGGGAGGATGTAACCCCATTTCAGGCATTGGCGGAGGAGGAGGTCCCATATCAGGCATAGGGGGTGGAGGTGGCCCCATATCTGGCATTGGGGGTGGGGGTCCCAAATCTGGCATTGGAGGTGGGGGTGGACCTAGTCCAGCCACTGGAGATGAAGGTATTAATAATTCAGCTGATGGTGGTGGAGGAATTGGCGGTGGGGCAGTAGACATTTCTGGCGCTGATGTGCCAGTTGGTACATCAGGTGTATGTGGTTGTTCATGTTCAGACAAAACTAATTCAGACAATGACGGCGCTGAAGTAGCCGCTGTGGCTTCCTTCGTCCCTGGCGTGGGCGGCGGGGACGGCGCCGCGCCCGGCAGCGGCGGAGGCGGCTGCGTCGAGGGTTGACTAGTGGAAGACGGTGGCTTTGGGCAAATTAATACTGACGGCGTCTCACTTGTAGAAATACTAGATGTTGGTGGGGATAGACTAGCTAGATGAATACTACTGTCTTCTTCTGGAATGTTCTGTTCCAATTTAGAATAAGAATTTCCATCTTTTATTTCTGATGATGGTGCACTGGACGTATTAATTGCTGAATATTGACTAGTTTCCAAAGTAACATTCTTCTTAATACTTGTAAATAACATTTCAGTGATAGGGGTGTTTTTCAAATCAGTGTTATTTTTCAATGCCAGTTCATCTGATTCCAAAGCACATTCCGTTTGGTTGCTCATTGACTCACTTGAAGTTAATGCACTAAGAAATGATGCATCAGAAGAACAGCAACAGCAAGAAATTATGCATGTCGCACTATTATTAGGATGATGTGCACATTTGTTGATATTCCTATTTACAGCTATTGTATTATCATCCTGTACATCTCTTGAGCTGTTTGCATTATCTTCTGAACTTTTAGGAACATCCAGTTTTCTAATAGCTTCATTATAATCTCTACTTTTATTTAACTTACAATAGTTTTCAATTTTATCAGATCTATTTTCAGTTTTCAATTCTATATCTTTTAGGCAACTACTTACTACTACTGCATTATCAATATTTACATTTGACTTTGAATGTGGGTCAGGTATTATCACAGGCCTGTAGGAGAGTTTATTAATTTCATAAGATGTCTGTACTTCTTTATTCATTAGTTCTACTTTAGTCTTAGCTACCACTTGAGAAGGTGAGTCAAAACTCTTTCCTAAATTTTTATTTAGAGCATCTATTTGAGCATTAATCTTATATTTTTCTAATTGGAATTCCAGTTCTTGAAGTTTTCGTTTTAGCTGTGAAATGGTTACTTTTGCTTCATTGATGTCACTTATTTCTTCATTATTATTTTGATTAAAGAATTTATTGTCTACATTGCAACGATTAGTTACGATAAGTTGATCTTGAGTTATTTGCGGTAGTAACTCTTTGTCAGGAGGCCAAGCGGCCATGTGTAGGCGGCCCGGGGTCACGGGCTGGGATGCTGGTGTCTCCATGTGTGCCCAGTAGTACATCAGATTCGGCTAAAAGTAAACATTGATAGTCATCAAGATAAATAATTCACAGACCATTTCTTATTTACTGTAAGTTAAGCAATCCAAGGTTAAAACCTAAGTTACATTTTAAGTTGAAACAGATTACTTCAAAATGTCACTAACATTAGTAACCAGAAAGTTGGTTAGGGTGAATTTTTACTGGTGAATTACTATTTTTTTAAGGTCTTTTCATTATTTTTGACGATTAAATTATATCACTTTATGGAATATTATTACTATGTTATGCAGTTGTGTAGTTATTGTGCAGAAGGCAAGTAAGTAAATAATATTACCTTGAATATGTTTTCGGTAGGTGCATCTTTGTCTGAAATCTGCCTCAGAACTCCAGCTGCTAATAGGTGAGTACAATATTGAATTCCAAGGTTTTTCAGATCTTGTGGGTTCAACAAGTTTTTCAAGTGATTATTCTCAGAAATCGATGATAGAAACCAATTTAAAAGCATCTGACCTGAAAGGTAAGGAAAGATATATTTTACTTTAATGATTTGTCGCTGGCAAAATGGATTATTAGTTTAATAAATATTGTTTTCTACAAAGTTAAATACAAACCATACAAACTTTTACACACACTGTAAGAAAATGTCAAAGTTTATTATTTATCTGTCACAGTGACAGTGACAGGACAGGACTGAGATGTAAGTTCATGTGAGAGATGTTTTTTTCGCTCAAACGAAAAACATACCTACCCATTGTAAGCTTGATTGATTTGATTATTTAATTGTTTGCGTTATTGGTGCTTTAATTTTTTGTCTTTAAGTAAATTATACTATAGGCTCTTAAATTTATTTATACGTTGATTACCTACTGAACGGTTATTAAACTTTGGGATGTATCTGATATCTGTCATCACTCACTGTTTGGCGGGAAGTTAGGTTTTTTTTTGATTCAGTGTCTGTCTCACTCTGAATGATGATTTATTTAAAACTAGCTTTTGCCCGCGGCTTCACCCGCGTGAAATTTCGTTTGTCACAGATCGTCATAAATTATAGCCTATATGTTATTCTGGGTTATAAACAATAATACTGCAAAGTTTCATCAAAATCCGTTCAGTAGTTTTTGCGTGAAAGAGTAACAAACATCCACACATCCAGACATCCAAACTTTCGCATTTATAATATTAAGTAGATTAAGTAGTAGATTATTAGAATATTAAAAAAAAAATAATTATGGTATCTACGTAAAACGAATAGAAAATAATCTGTAAGTACCTAGCTAGGTATTTTCATTTTTTATGAAAATTACAAAATAAAATGATGATATCAAAATTCTGACTTCACCATACTATTTATATGCGTATGTCAATATGGGCTAGTGTCGGCTTATATACCCATTTACCTAACACCCTGTATTTATGAGAATTTAATAATGATTATTAGGTTACGTTCTTTATGGAAACCATACATTTTAGCACATGCATTTATGAGTTCTTTGATCAAAACGGAGCATCTCAATCTAACAAAGGTTGGTTTGAGCTCTTCCTCAATAGAGGAGGTCCGTGGCCGTCTGAACATCTGCCCGGCCCATTTTTTGGTATTTCTCTAATTAGCTGACTTAACTCAGCAGGGGCATAGGCATAGAGCCCCTTCATAATAGACCACGGCCATCAGATACGGGGGTGTCTGGTGGCGCTGGAGGCTGAGAAGGCGTAAAGACGCCTACCTTGGTTTGGGGCTGCGCATTAAGCGAGCCGAATACTGAGTAGGGAACGCGGATGAATACTTGAGGCAAAACGCCGATAGCGATGTCCCGCGTTCCCTACTCATGTGGCTTACCGAGGGCAACGTCGTTTTTACTTAGTGGGTAGGCTCTGCCTACCAGGGAGAACCCCACATAAAACTCATGTATTTTCCTGACGAAAAAAAAGCAGCGGCATAGATCAGACTGTAACCCGCTATGGCGGGCCAGTCCTGTTAACATGTTTCACCAGAGCCGCAAGGAGAAAATCCCCTTACAAAAAACAACCAGAGGAATAGTGTGTGTTTAGGACCCTTGAAGCTGGAGAGACTCGATCGAGAACAAGCCATAGCCTGAGGACTGAGATGGAGTTGCGACCGGATGAATGTCCTAGCTTGGACAGTAACTCGCAGCTACATTTCATTGGGCTCCGGAGGACATGGTTGGGTTTTAGTGAGTAGGCCCCGCCCTTCTAGCGGAGAGAATCGCACATAGCCCACTGTTCGTCCCCATCGGCCAGTGAACGTCCATACCAAAGCATTTCGCAACATAAAAAAAGAGCCACACACTATGTAGGTAGGTACTATGATTAGGATTAGGTTAGGTACCTGCTGATTTGATAAGATTTGAGCTATCGCGAAAAATAGACAAAAAACTTACTTCGGTAAGACATCACTTTTTGCAACATACTATTTCGTATACTGATGACGTATGAAGATGTGACTTCGTATTCCATTGTTAAAACGCCTATTGCCAAATCACTTTCAACTTTGATCCTTTGACGTTCACTGTTCATAACTAATATCACTGTTTTACACCACTGTGTTGTTCTTTCAATTCTATAACTTAGTTTCTTCAATGGCACTAATACCCAGGCGCATTTTTTCGCTCGCCTTGAAGCGGAACGAAACCGTCTCGCTGCGGATACCAAACCGGTGTTTATAGTAATTTCATCTGTATGTAGACCCAGTATAGTCACGATATCTTGAACTCCTTTATCCGCAATGCGATGCTGGCCAAGAAACTTGACATAGTTGAAGTGTGCCACCGACGAATTGGTGAAATTAACGCGGTTGGTTGAGATTTGCATCTTCACCACTTTATTAATAGACTAAACTAACCAGTAAGTCACGTATACAGGTCGCTAATGGCTCGTAATAATGCAGATAAGAATTAGGGGGCAGTCTTTGCTGATAATAGATAATTCAATTATTCTTATCATTTTCTTATCAAGCTGTTCATTCATGTATTTATAGCGTGCGTTGTTTATCATTTTTACTTTTCAGGTAGGTACGATCAGTTGCTATTTTTTGCAAATAGCAAGCGTGTTTATTAATTGAAAAACTTTATTTGAACGATTCTAATTGACCTAATGCTTTTTATGCTTAAGGAGTGGTGTTGTAGTCCCTCGGCTCACAATCGGGGATTTTACGAATTCTAAATTTAATCATGCAGGTTTTCTTTGAATCAGCTTAATGAAATTGGTAAATAATATCACTTGGCTCGGCGGTGGCGGACAATATTGTGCACGAGTGTGACGAAATAAAATCTGCACTTTGCTCGAGATAACTCTGCATGACTGTGTTCGTCCTTATCTTATCGCAAGTGCCTTGAAGCAATATAGGTAAACTCTAACCAGTTAAAGATGTCTGATGGATGTATTTGTTGTGCAAGCCATAAGTCACAATAAGCTGGATAGGTATGACATGAAAAACATCTTAAGGTTTATCCTAACGAACTAATCCAAAAGTCGTGAATTGATAATCCGGTAGGTATCGCATGTTACAGCATTTCCTAAGCACAAAAGGTTCTGGGTTTGATTTATTTTAATTCTTAAGAAGTATTTGTGATGTGTGTAGACTAAACTTGTCACTTACACGCGTAAATTCAAGATCCTAGTCCTAGGTCCCTATGGTTTGTAAAAGATTTTCCACGTACAGAAATAGGGGATTTGAGTGTGTTAATTTCATAGTTTCATAACACATAACACACTCTTAGTAGAAAGCCTAAGAAGCCAGTATCGTTTACCTTCAAACTTCTCGTACAGTTGGAAGTCGAGCTTCTCCGGCACGAACCGGGGGCGCAGCACCCTGTTCTCGGCGTGCTTATCCAGCGTCAGCGACGCCACCTTGCGCAGCACGTTCGACTCTCCCATGGGCATGTCGCTGACACTCGAGTGCCTTCGGTCTTTTTCTGTAATTGTAACAAAGTTTAAATGTCAGGTGCGTAAATAGTAGAGCACTACCGTGGATTTGTTGTCCTATGAAATTGCAAAACCAATCGTAGATACTGCTTGTAATAAAAACAGCAATAAATCTGAAACAATCGATAACCTCAGATGGAAATTGACCCCACGACCTTTTGCTAAATGAGCTTGATAAAAATCTGATTTGTGTTTGTGTAAATTAGTAAGATAAGTAATGCCTCAAGTATCCTAAAAAACGGTATGGAATTATTTGGTGTTGAGTTTTAAGAAACGTTACGAGAATTACAAAACTTTCTCTAATCTATTCTAATTTTACTCTGTATGTGGAATTGTAACGTAAATGAAAACTTTTACTAATTTTATTCATGAATATTCATTAAGTTCATTACATTTGTGTCTTAATTTTATTTAAGATCATTGAAGAATTTCCACATAACAGTTTGTAAAAGTTTTCTAGGAAATAATGTTTACCTACAATGTTTACAAAAAAAACATAAGTAAGGTCTTTGGTGTTAGTTTTTGCTACATGCGTCATTCTACAGTAATTTGGTTAAAGGTGATGTTAAATAGGTAGGTAGGTATCTTGTGTAGAGAAATGTTGTCCGTATTTAGATAACGTAGCGGTAAATATTGATGTTTATTTTACCTATATTAGAGTCGTAAGGCTAGCCTAGGATACCATTTAATCTAGACAGAAAGAAAGAACGTTATTACTAAGTGTAAAGTGTACATTAAAATAACGTTTAAGTAATGCCTTCCAGCCTTCCATGGTAAAGGCGATATTTATGTATGCCAGAAACCTTTTGTTGTGAATAAAAATAGTTTCTTTCGACCTTAATTGTTACAAAAAAGAGCAACTGTTATGGTGATTGTGTTTGTGATGAACTTTATAGCAGTTCTTATTGCGGTGTACAAAGATTCATAATCGAGTACTCCTTAATCAAAGTGTGCTGAACCGTAGAGCCAGTATCAACAAACTGGTTTCAAACATTGTGAAGAGTACTCCACGAACGCAAACAAGAAACAGCAACAAGTACTTATCGTACAGTTTCCAATAAGTATTGAAACAGTTCCTGTAACTATAGTCCAATATTTCAGATAGGTATGAAATTAAATTCGTAGTCGTATCAGTATAAGTGATATGTAGGTAAACCAGTAGCTAAATTTGGAATACTTGGTAAGATTATGTTGGAAATGGAAAATAATTCATAATACGAACCGTTATCAAGCATACTGAGCGAAGATTCACAGGCGACGGGAGTCAGCTCCACCTTGCGGTGCTTGGAGAGGGTAAACGACGTTTGCCCTGGACAAGCCTTCAGCCGGTTGTCGCGGAAGTCATGGCTGCACTCGTGCGCACTGCGGTCTATGTGGTCGCCGCGAAACCCCGAAATTATAGCGCCCATAACCTTTTCATCGCCCCTGTCACTAGTGTCATCAAATACGTCGCTTTTTTCTTCTTTTTCCATGTCATCCGTTGACAGCGAGGAGGCGGCGTCGTCGTGCGGCATGTCGAGCTGCGAGCCGGAGCGCGCGGCGGCCGCCGACAGCGAGGGCGTGAGGGTGCGCGGAGGCTCGTCGAGCGCGCTGTCGCTCTCCGCGGAGTAGTAGCACTGGTTGAGCTCGACGGCGAGCGGCGTGAGCGGGTCCGTGAACACTGACTCGGACGGGGAGTCGTTCTCCGAGGCAGCCGGGGCGGAGTGGTCGCGGGTCGGTGACCGCGGCCCCGCGCGCGACTCGCACCTGGTCACCGTTACCTCGGAGTGCACGCTCGCCGACTCGCCCTCCGCATCCCGCCGCGATGTTGACAACACGCACTCGACCGTATCGTTATCGGATGTTTCGATCGCTTCATTGTTATCGGAATCTGGCGTTTTATCAAACTCCCTATCGATCGTCTCGCGTTTTGCATCACCCTTTTTCTTCCCATGTTTTTTACTGTCTCTGCCTGGTGATTTTCTGTTTAGGTTCCTTATGAAATGTTTACTTTTTGCAGGTGATTTTCCAGTTTTAGGTTGTTTCTCATTACCTTGAATGTTACCCATTTTTATGAACTATGGGGCTTAATCAATTATCTTAGAACTGACTTTTGGAAGACATCTTCGTATCCCGTAGCGTTATAAAACTGAATTTAGACTGAAACTACAGGACTAGTAGTATTTGCAAACTCACAGCCCATTGAAGAAGTCGGCAGACAGGAGCGGCTTTAGCTGTGACCAAGCATGCGCAGTAGTATCATCTAATCAATATCTTTAGATGAGTACCAACATAGTACCTATTAAAGTTAAAACTTAAGAGGATTGCCCCCTTCCAATAACGTCGGAAATTGTGATTTTAATTNAAAGTGTTAATACAATTTAAACGGTTTTGTTTATGCATTATTAGCTGATGCCACTGGGATGGATGAATAGAAGTTAGTGGAGAACCTCAGCCTGAAATTTATTTGCAGGTTATGTCGACAGGTGCCGCTAAAAGCTCTTACCTCTTACGTGGGAACAGTTTGATATATTTTTTTTCAGGTAACGGCAGATGTCGCTAATAGTTGTCGATGTTTACGGAACTCTACCAACCTAGGTATAATTACCGGTATAAGTATACCAATTAATCTTTTTGAAACCCTTAATTACTTATTTAACTTTCTTGAAGATATTTGGTAAAACTAGGTCATCATTTTTCAAGATCTAAATGTTTGCTGTACATTACGGATGTAAATTCAGCGGTTTCTTACGGAGTTGCTCATTTAAAGGAAGTAAAGCAGCTGAAAACATAAGATAGTTAATCCGAAGTTAATTAACATCACAAACGCTAAAATGGCACTTAATATAAAATACGTTCTATAATAACAGGAAAGTTTTGTGCAGGGTCCCAACCGGAAATAGACATGCCTTTTATTGCCTCACACTCAGGCTAAAGTTATCTTATTTATTGTGTGCAGGCATATTAAAAGGGGATATTTTCTATTATTATTGTTCTCTCAGAGCATCTTCAATAAATATTTAGATATTTCAAGTGAAACCCATTTCGTTTTCAGATAATGAATAACGAAATATGACACCATCAGGGTCAGAAACGAAATTAAATTGATAACTCGTTATTTGTGGTTAAATTTTAAATACAAAGGGCAGGATTTATTGTTGTTTTAAAAATATCTCGTTATGTATTGTTAACTTTTGAAAATAAAAACGAGGGTTACATTTTATCGGTCCAATTAAACTGATGATAGTCTTTCAAGTCCATTATTTTCTTTGAATACCTATGTAAAGGTAGATATAGGTAGGTATAAAGTATTTTAATTAGATTTCGGCTATGAATTTTAAAAATATTTATTGAAACATTTTTTTTCTAATGGTACTTTGTTATGTTGTAAAGAATTTAACGTTAAATAACATTATGAATCTGCCTATAGTCCATAGCTCTACGCATTGATATCGTACACAAACAGAACACCTAACATATTACAGCGATTCAATCGGAAACTGCCTAATTAATAGCTTGTAGCATTCGGGCGTAGTTTGGCCATTGTCTGGTTTTTCCCGGAAAATATGAGGAACAAAATCAAATAAACGAATCAGAACGTTTCATGGCTTGAATATTTATTTGTATTCTTTATAACCGCAAAATACCTTTTGCGGTTATTTATTGACAGAGTCAAACAACAATATTTGGGAATCGATACCTATGTACATTAGCGAATCCCCGGTTGCTCTTATCAGCTAGAGTATAGCTGTAAACGACAGTTACTCGAGTAAGTACCTATCTAAATCCTTAATACGTACCTACTTCTAACCACCGCTGATTTTCACAATAGTAGAGATCAAAGGTGTGTAAAATGGAAACATGGAGTTTGAAGTTATTGAGTTTAAAAATCTAGTAAGAGAGTAGGTATCTATCTAGAATTAAACTTGAAAGTTTGTGAGGCTGTTGAGGTTGATGGATGACACTAAAACTACCGGACGATTTTAATAAAACAACGTTAATACCTAGGTACAGCTATTAAATAAAACAATTGCCTCTGCCTTGTCAAATAATTTTAAAAGCAAATTTTGACAGATTACCACTTCACTTTCCTTGAAAATCGCCAAATCCCGAGCGTCACGTTTCGCAATCCTCGTAGCAATCATTTTGTACAAAATAAACGTCTTACGTAAAATTATTTTAGTGTTTGACTTTTTTGAAGTAGAGTCGCTAAGCTATATTTTAACAGCTTATAATCTTGAAATTGTGTCATAAATTGGCTTGGACTCCCCGCCGACTACCTACAGACTTTGTTGGGCCCTATTCTAATTTGTTGAAGAATCGACAGATACCTATGTGTGCCCTTTCATACATGTCCATCCCGACCCAACTATCGACCGACAAAAAGTCTCTAGTCTTCGGCTATGCTTAACAACAGTCACAGAGCCCTGCTTCTAAAGTAAATTATCTTTCTAAATAATAATTCCATGTAAATATTAAGAATACTAATGTAGGAATCATTATCTCTTTAATTCTATGATCTCTACTGTAAAATACAAATTTTAATTATTTTAAAGACAACAAGTTACTTAACATTCAAAATCTAAAAAAAAAAAAATTACCACAACTTACCCGCAGATCTATTGTAGCCAAATGCACTCATCATTTGGTGTGATTTGAGTGTCCGACCATTCATTTAATGAAACAGTTAATTGCATTTAGGTATAACTAATGTACACAGCTTATACATAAGTACCTAATAAGACTTCATGTGCCACTGTCGTCGGTACTTATTCACATTCCATAAATTCTATTATAACGTAAAATGGAGTTTAAAGTAAAAATATAAAGGAAAAAGCAACTTAATATAACTATGTAAATACGTTTAACATATTGCTTTTGTAAATCCTAGTAGCTGGCTTGCAGTTTGAACTGTCTGCATAAACCTCTTCTACCTGTGAAAAACGTTTCGAACTCTCTCTATTGCTAATAAACGTTGCGCTCGTTTTTCCAGTGACTTTTAAGTAGTTAAGCATTGAAACGACATTTTTATTTCCTATACATTTTCTTTTGAAAATAGAATAATTGCTGCCATGATGTATCATTAATACGGAACAATATCAGCGCTTCTAGTGATGTGGATAAAAAAACATAAACACGACCGTTTAATAAAGCGGCCAAATAGTAGGTATTTGGCACAATTTATTGTTTTGGGATTTGGAGTTGAAAAATACATGGTCACAATGGTCGGCCAAAATCTGTATGTCCTAACTTAAACAGAACTATTTTTGTCATTTTTCACATTCATTAAAAAGCAGATTTTCATGATGAACACAATCCTCAATTTTCGTTACATTATATCTTATGTAAGTGTGAGTACGAATATGAATTGTGAGGGCATGTTTCATATCTTACGCCTTCTGGAATGAAAAAGCTTTTTGTGAGGGAAATTGTTTCAATTGTTTTCTTTTATCGCCCCCCAAGGAAGGTGCTCTGCAAAGAAGCGAATTACCACCGAGGCTGGCTCTGGGATCCCTCAGGCGCTCATTCACCTACTGTTACTATTATGCCTCAGTTAGATCAATATATGTACGAGTAAAATATTCAATTCACGAAGAAGCAAATACAATAACTAGATACTTAAATATTTATGGGCTGTTAAGAGTCTTCCTTGTCTTGTTCTTTAGAAACTTGTATATCGTAGTGTCTACACTTAGTTATGTCTTATTTGTATTGTAACTACAATCTATTAATTAATATTGAAGGGTAAAGGTACGATCCCCTACGAGGTAGTTGGGAAACGATTATTAAAATGATCATGGAAATGACGATGATGAGGACGTAGTAGGCAATTCTAGTAGAAAGAAGCCAACAGTTTATTTAATAAAATCTCAAAGTGAAATAATAATAGTGCCTTAAATAATTAGATTGTGTACCAACGAAGATTTAGTTAAGATTCCGCGTCTCGACACGCTCCACATTCAATTTTACATACCTGTCACGTTTATCAAGAGGCCAAATCGAATTTCTTTGGGCCTCGGTCGTCTCATTTATTGAAAACGCAAACGTGTAAAAACGACATTTATTTCACGGTCTTACAGTTTTCGGTCCTATCCAAATGGCAAGGGTAACCTAATGATATTTCTCGAATCTTTCCACTAAAATAAGTCAAGTACAGTACAGGGTAAAAATATCAAAAACTTAGCTTTGCTACAGTTCTACCAGAACTTACTACGAGTACCTGAGTAACTTTTGTTTCCAGTTCTACTGACATGTACCTAGATCGATCATTTATATTTTTGAAGTAGGTAAGAGGTAGGTATATGATCTGTTACGCGAACTTTTCAAGTCTTTGTATCTTTCTTAACTTTCGCCTTCTTTCTTTCAAAGAGTAAATCATGCTGCATTCTGTATCACATCATATTTCCTCTTTGTTATCTACATATTATTATGTTGGTATTCACTAGGTAGGTACTTTCTATTTTCTTTTGATGCTTCCTATTCTTGGTATGAAATTTTCCATACCATCTGTGTTTACACGCAGCTACCTAAAAGAAAATCTCGTATCAAAATCGCCTTCTATGACTAAATATAGCTTCGTACCTAATGTTTCTTACCTACTTAGCGCTTTTAATTTTATTAACGTTAAGTTGCTACGTGCACCATATTGTAAAATCATATAATATTAATATTGGAAGAGGTCTCAGTACAAATACAAGTGGATGAACTCTGATTTAGATACTTACTTATGGTGTAAATTAGAAAACCCACATACCTTCCAATAAAAATGGGGTAGGGTGGAAGGTAATCGCACAATCCGTTCCCACTTCCCAGGATTATTTCAATGAAAGATAGGTATTCGCAAACGAAGTTTAATCCTTGGGGGTTAAACGCCAACTTACTATGCGTGCGAAAAATTCACGACAGTTTGCCCGCGCGGGACACGCGAGCTGAATCAAGCCTAAGTTAACGAAATCTTTTTGGTTTCTTATAAAGTACCGTACCCACAGATATAACGATGTTCACAGATAAAACTTCGGTTCTTTAAATTTTAAAATTAAAATATAGATTAAAATGCAATAAAAAAGGG